CATCTGTTGTCTGTACAATGCGAATGAATTGGGTTAGCAGTCGGGGAAAACTGAGTGTCACATAATAAAAGAGGAGCGCCGATTGCAATGGTTGCGGTGAAATGCTGGTGAGAGAGCAATCAACACAATACAGAGAATGTTTTATCTCGGTGAAGAAGCATCAGCAGTTGTGTTACATATCTTCCACAGAATGATTGTTGAACTTTAACCAACATGACAACCAAGCAAATATGCATCGTTTTTTGTTGGGCAAAAAAAAAAAAAAAACTCGGTTCCTGCATGGTAAAAATGCCGTACACTGGGGCGGGAATCACGGAGCTCTCATCAAAACAATCAGGCGATAATTCGGGGCGTGATCGGGGTCAGACACGTACGCACAGACATACCGAAACTGAGATGAAACACACGCAGAGAGAGGGAGAGAGAGAAAAAGAGAATCGAGATACGCAGTCAATGCAAGCCAAATGAAATAAAATAATAATAATAATCAGTATGAGAGAAAATTTTGAACGAAAATTAGTAAAATAAATTCATATATATCATATATATCAATAACAGAAAGCGGAGGCTATTTCGCACAACGGGGGCTTTTGCCGCTTCTTCCATGCAGCAGCAGCGGCACTCACGATGCACTCCAGTGCTGCGGGCCACCACCGTACGTCTTTTTGTGACCGTGCAACGGCATCTGTTGCGACATATACCCTTGAGGCTGATAGACTTGAGGCGGTGGAGTGGAATGCGCACCTCCTCCTAGACGATCCTTCGCTCCGGCACTGCTCACGTACTTGTCCAGCTGTTGATGACCCGGATACACCTGCCAAACAACTTTCTTCACAAACAAAACAGAACACAGCTATTTGAAGAAATTCTTATACAAGAAAATTCAGTCAAAAATACTTCTTCAGCAGAAAACAAGCCAACCTTGGGCTGCTGTGTTGGAAGGCGCTGATCCGAAATCGGATCTTCGACTGTTTGCTGTTGCGCAAACATCTGGTGGTTCAACTTATGCTGTCCGTGCCCATTGGTAGCATTCGGTAACATAAATGGGAACGGCAGCTGGTTGATTTGCGCCTGATACGCAGCCGGTGGAATCTATAAAACACTGCATTTCATCAGCTATTGTTCAAATAACGATAATAATAACAGTAATAATAATAACAAATAAAAACAATACTGATAATGATAGCTGTACAAAATAACTGTACAAAAAATTGTCACTTATTTAAACAGACATGGGAATACTTGGCAATTTTTAGCTGAACCTCTACTACTATCGCTTAAGTAGCCAACAATAAAAACAGGCACAGTAAGGCATTCCTAGATTACACTTACCTGGAATATCGAGCTGATATGATTGTGCTGTGGAAGTGTAAATGCCGCCGGGGGACCCGTAAAGCCGGGCGGCGGAGCAACAGCCGAATTGTTCACAGCTGCTGAATCGCGCTGCTGCTGACTGCCCAGCATACCGGCTCCTGCTGCACCAGTACTATTCGCAGCTGCGGCTGCTGCCGAAGCAAGATACGCCTGAAACTGCAAAACGCATAAAATAGCATCCCAAAG